TTTGGTAATACAATAAGTGATCGGACCTCCACGCATTTGTTTGAGAAAATTATTGACATCGATGTTCTTACAATTATTGCTGAAAGTAGCGTTCTGTACTCCAAACAAAAGAACTGACATAATTTTGTTTTAAGCTGTGAAGAAGTAAATTAATTTTTGAAGTTTTGCTTTTCAGTGATTATCACCAACTTCCTTCAGAGCGGGCTTGTTGATAACAGTCCTGCCACTTGTGGAACTGACAAAATGTTTTAGGCTTTATACATATGTATGTAATCTAATTCATTCTAGCCATTGGGGAGTGTTTCACAAATTACTTTTATTAGATGAGTCCCTGGTTAAATAGTTTTGCTGATATCGAGCAAAACTGTTTATAATAGGAAAACCGGTTAGATATGTACTGTGGTAAACCTGTAGAGATGACTAACAATTCGCTTGGTAAACAAGTAGTCAAGTCTTTACTAGTAAAAGTACCTGAAGTACCAAAGAAACATATTGTATATTTTAATAAATTATTTACTACGCTCAATTTCATACTTCAACTACTCATTATCCACAGATGAGGACATCCATATTTCTCACAACCGATTTTTACGAAATTTCGATCTTAGCTGAGGAATAGTACAGAGAGCGCGCCATTGAATTATGTACTTGAATTATCTTCGACTTACCATAAAATATATCCGATAAGTGCCGCTGGTTTCGAAATATATCTAAATATTTTATTTATCATTCGATTTAGTTAATATTTGGATCACACATTTATCCCATGAAATAAAAGTTTCGTTTCAAAACTCTTTTCAATAGGTGGTGCCAATGTCGACATAATATGTGGGGCTTGTGTTGATCATATGAAATAAAATATTCTAATCAAAAGCTACCCGCAAGGTGACGAGGGTATATAAATATTTCTAAATACCTTGTTTACTATCCCAATTAGTTCATATTTCAAATGCTTCCTACTTACTTGAAATAATATAATCATAAGCCAATCCAATGGATGGTGCTGATGTCGAATTATTGCTCCAATCCTTTCTTTCATATGATTATTTATAATACAAAAGATCTAGATCTATTTAGCTTAGTTAGAATGATCCGGTTTAAATCAGATATGAACAGTTTTGTTCGGTAACTATAGGCCAACAACTGGGATAGTCGATTTTCACAAGCTTCTCTTGAAGATAGGTAGTAATCACTTGGTGTAAAATTGGGACTGTAAGATGGATAAATAAGAACTACCAACCAAGCTCCGAAAGCTTCTGGCGAGTCACTGTCGATGTGTGTGGTCTGGCGTTGTCCTGCTATATTACAATACCACTCCTGTTGGCCACAGCTGGCTAACAGTTTCGTTCCCTGCCAATCACACCAAACACACATAAAAAACTGACTTAGGAGCATGTGCGCCGCCTCAGAGCGATTCAACCATTGCCGTCATAAGTGACCCACTTTTCAGGCAGAACTATAAATTATATAAGGTAAGGACTTATGGTCTACTTTAAATTTTATATAAGACCTTGAGTTACTGAAGAAATTTATATATATTTACATGCCGGCTTTGTTAAAATTGTGAAAGGTTGTCAGTAATAATGACAGAACTATATTTCTTGGAGTTGCTCTGTGAAAAGAGTCCTTTCACAAGGCTAATTTTTGGAAGAATGGATATAATTGAAAATCATTACAATTAATTCAGACATATGCAATGTTTTTAACCCTTAGTAATGACACAATCTGCATTAATATTATATGTATATCTGAAGTCTAAACTAAAAGCTTTGTTTAGACAAAAAGTTTTACTGATGTTCTTTACTCTAACCGTTTAATTAGTTCGGCACTTTAATACATTTTGAGTTTATTTTTAATCTCAAAAAAGTTTGCGTTTTTAATGACAACTCTAGCAACCTGTGATATGGCATCGAAGTTTATCACATCACATAAAATCAAATATGATATATAATTTAGATATTCACATAATAGCGGCTAAATACAGAAAATAATAATTTAATTATTTTTATATAATATTTTTATTACAAAATTTTTCTACATTTAAATAATATATCGCATGACCTCCCATATTTTTATTCATAAGAGATTTTAATCAATGCATAAAAAGAAAATTATAATCACATATGATTCACGTGATATAATAAAATCATGTGACATCCACGGATCACCATTTAATTAATAGTCCCACTTACTAGCAATGACTACATGCGAAAGAAATAAAAAATACACAAATGTTAACCGAACCATGCGACCACCTAATATTAAGGAAAATACTCTCTTCTGCAATACTAAGAACATGAACTTGAGTAGCATTTGCATAAATGAAGCGAAAGTGCTGCAGTTAATGCAAGAAACCGCCAATAACTTTCGAAGTCATATGTATGTAAGTCAGAAAGCAGCGCCACTCACATTTGTTGGTGGTTAAGACAATGAGGAATGCAATGGATATGAAACAAACAGCTTTTCCGAGGGGTTATGGCTGGGTGGGTGGTAATGTTGTGGGTGGAATACATACTGAAGTTCGCTTGGAAGCTTTGAACGCCAAACACAAACACAAGCAGAGTGGTAAGCAGGAGTAAGCTAAAATGAGTAATAATTGGAAGATTGCTCTTGCATTGATGTAATATAGTATTATTGAGCATAAAATTGAAAGTAAGAGTATTTGTGGTAGAATAAAAAAATTGTCTTTCCAAAATATGTAAATAATTGGATGTACAATATGTTAATAATATCATCAAATCTCAAATATTATATATGTATTTGAACATTTTTTGGAAAATTTTGAATTTTCAATAAAATTTTTACAACTTTTGAGTTAAGAAACTTATAGCATGTTCCCACCAAAAATTTAATGTGAATAGATTATATATAATTATAAAATTTATATTTTGTATCACCTAAAACTAATCAAGTTGCATATAGGGTTCTACATATATCCTGATCATGATGAAGAGACAGGTTGAAATCCGGGTGACTGTCTGTCCGTCCGTCTTTGCAAGCTGTAACGTGAGTAGAAATTGAGATATCTTCATGAAACTTGGTACACACGTGACTTGGTACCGTAAGACGGTTGGTATTGCAGATGGGCGTAATCTGAAAACTTCCACGCTCACAAAACGCCATTAACCAAAAACAAATAAATATCGACAGTGTGTAAATGGGTAAAATCGGGTGACAACCCCGCCTACTCCCCTAAAAGCGCGATAAATCAAGCACTAAACACGCCAGAGACATAAAATTGTATCTCTGGAATGGTCTCAGATGACTTTACAGGAACCGCGTTCAAAATTATACAGTAGGCGTGGCACCGCCCACTTTTAGGTGAAACCCCATATCTTGGGATCTGCTTATTCGATTTCAGCCAAATTCGGTACATAACATTCTTCTCATATTTCTATGTTATATTGCGAAAATCCACAAAATCGGATTACTAGGCGTGGTTGTTTCCCGTATAACACCAAGCAACAATGTTTGTATCCGGGTAGGACTTTGCCCGAATAATGCGTTTAAAGTATGCCACCTTGTGACAAAACTATTTATTTCCTTACTTGTTCAATACTATTTACTGCCGTTTTCACTTATTTATTTGAAATTGTTTTACTTTTTATTTTATTTGGTTCAGAGTCGCAGAGGGAGATTTCGTGTAGATTAGCTTCAAATCTCTTCGGTGACGAGAATAACAAGTGCCACTTTTTGCATGGCGAAATCTTGCTTAATCTAGTAGCATAGGGAGATAACCTACTCAGCAGCCTAAATCTCGTGTTTAAGTGCCGGTCGGACCATGGTGTAAAGTATACTCTCCAAAATACTTCTGCGAAATTTTCAACGATTCCGATTCAGTTCCCAAATTTCAAAAAAACTGGTAGACAATTTTTTTTTTCACGATAAAAATTGCCAGAGAAATTTACACGTCGTAAACAAACAGCTGTCAAACACTTATTGACATATGGAGATAAAACTTCACACGAAGATAAAAAGAGGTTGTACCAATCTAAAAAAAAAAATGTATCGATTCGGTTTACGTGGCCAGTAAAATTCATATCTAAGCAGGTGTATATATGAAAGTGCCTAGTTCTTTTATTATAAACCTACTGGTGGGACTTTATTTTATCTTAAGTAAAGTGTTCAGAGATTGGTATAAAGAAGTGGACTTTGTATACGCCCTTATCTGGTTTGATCGGGATAAACTTTTTATTCGAGTATATCTCGAATTTATCTAAGAAAAGAAGAAACGCTTCATGTTATTTCTTTGGATATACGCACATAACCATGACTTAATTATTAGTAGAAACACTATTAGTTCCATCTGTTAGAAGCCCTTATAAGCCCTGAGCCCTATTAAGATAATATTTTCGGTTTAGCGAGGAAGTTATATTTGTTATGCTGAGTAGGTTATATCATTCAAATAATCCACTCCACTGCTTGGGGTTCTCTGAAAGATATTCCGTAAAAACACAAAAAGCTTTTCGGATTCTCTATTAGGTACTCAGAAGAACATAAAGGGTCCTACAAGTCCTACGTATTCTTCACTTTATTTTTGCTTTGGAATATTTTAGTGTTCTAAAAATTAATCAAGATAAAAGACTGAAGAGATTAAGTGAAATCTACATAAATGCCGCCGTGTAAACTTTTCTGAGCCGATTCAGCCATGATAAAAAGGCCAGATTTCTGTTGCAGTATCTAATAGGTGCACCAACTAAGCTACGTAGGAAAGTATGTAGGAACTATGAATGAGCCATATCCGGATATATGCTTCCTATTTCAAGACTTATATATCTTCCAGTAAGTTAGAACAGAACTCATAAAAGTTCTCGAAGGAAAAAAAATCTTAAAAATCTAAAAATTAATAAAAATTATTATTAAATTATTCCAATTTGATCAAAGTATGTTTAGAGTTCGAATGTAGTATTAAAATTAAATTCGAATAGGCTATAAATATATTTTTTAATCTTAAAACGAAAAATATTTTTATATATTAAAATTTTTTTATTTAATTTCAGCTAAGCGCTTTTGAAAATTTAACGATTTTACTCAATAAACTGAGTTGTAACCAATACACTCAGTTGCTTCTCCGGCTCCGTGAGTATTATATAGGGTGCGGAAAACTATACACCGAATAAACCGTCGAAATCACTCAACCGGCCGAGGGCACAGCTGCTGTGCTCAGCCTTCCAACGAAAAGCTCCCATAAAAAGCTACGGCCGGTAGAAACAAAACAACAACAGCAGCAGCTACAACAAAAAATAAACAAACAGACATCGAAGAGATGCCGAGCCTCCCACCCGAAACAGACACGCCAAGCGCCAAAGCAGAGTAACGTCAGCGTGAGAGAGTACACACCTGCATGCGCCGCATCAGCTGCGCCGTAAACTATGCTATAAAAATCAAGCATTGCACACGCCAGCAGCAGCCAACGACAGTGCTGAGCGCCGAAAGCCGCGACACTACAATGTGAGTACGCGAACAGTGTGGAACGTCTAAACGGGCAAGCCGCGCACAGCAGCGTGCTGGTGAAAAAAGTTGCAAGTGTAATAAATAGTGCAAACCAAACAAAAACCAAATAAAAATAAAATTGAGTTGAAGAAATAAGAAAAAGATTTCCTGCAAGAAGAAAATGCTTTTAAAATGAATTTCGCGCAAGAAAGTGCAAACAATTTGTGCAAAGTGCTGCAACTATAAATAAAACAAAGAAGTAACTGTGTGTTGTAAGCGTGTGTGTATGTGTCCTTTTGCATAACGCCTAAAAGTGTGCTAAAGGCTGAGACGTAAGTCAGAAAATTTTGTAACCAAAAGAAGTGAAAAGTCCAAGTAAAATTGTGCAAGGAAAATGTGGCAAAAGTGAAGTGAATTTCTTTTTTTTTTTGAGCTGCTGCTCAGTGTTTGTGTGTATGTGTCATGCGTTTGTGTGTGTGCACGCTGATAGTGCAGCACCGCGACATTAAGCGCGGCGGGTGGCCAGCGTACGCCGAGCGCTGTCTACGCGTGCAAACGTCGCGCAACAAGAAAATAAGGTAAAAATAGCTGCAAATTATGCAGTATACTTTGTAGCTGGGCTGCAGAAATACTGCTGCTTAGTTTGCGCGTAAGTGTCGTTGTGCATTATTAGTTTTGTAGAAAAATACTTAGCTACGCTATGCTGACTTTGGCTACAAGGCGTAACATCTTTTAGTGGCTAGAAGCATTTAGTGAAAAATATTTAAATAAAATGTGCTCAGCGCCTGCATGTATGCAACAATGTTATGCATAAGTCCGTGTGTTATAAATTTCAACTAGTAAATGTTGGAAAAACGTTGGAAACTTAACGTTGTGGGAACGTTAGTTAACTAATGCGCCTAAAATATTCATTTTAAAGTAATGAACATAATATAATTTGTTTAAGACATATCTAGGCTACTACCTAAAAATTCTACTTTTCCATAATAAAAAGAAATATTATTAAAAAATAAAAATACTTCAAAAGTCTTAAAGAAACTAGTTAAGTAACTGTATAAAATTCATAATTGGTAATTTAAACTTCATACAGCAACACATAGTAATATAAAATAATACAAATAAGAATTTAAAAATCCAAATAAAATAAAAAGATACTCAACTAAATTTCAAACAATCAAAATTTAAATAGTAAATATTTTTAATTTGAAAAATATAATTTCAGATTAAAATATTAATTTTACACCTTAATATATTTTTATTTAAGTGAAGAAAGTTCAGCTAATTTTAACCATAATCATAACTAAAAATAGAAATTAGTAAAAAAAATTAAAAGCTAAATTAACTTAATGAAAAATTAACAAATATTTCTAAAAGTTCAAAATAAATATTTAAGATAATATAATTTAATAATATATAACCTCATTTAATTTAAAATAAATATTTGTATCAAATTTTTATAAATATTAATTTAATAAAAATAAAAATATTAATGTTAATTACATGCAAAAGCACTAAATAAAATAATTTATTTAATAATTTAATAAAAATATAGTATTTTCAAAAATTTAGTTTAAAATATTTTTCATTCTTACCAATATTTATGTAACATAAATAAAAATACATGCAATAAAGAATTTAGTTAAAAATGCTTTATTTATTTTACCAACATTAGAAAAATCTGATCAAATTAAAAGCTAATATTATTTATTCATTGTGTCGTTCACTAAGTGATTTGGTTGGTTGACAACAGCCCTATCGAAGGTGGAAGATGGCCATATTTTACTGTTTTACTATTAAGAAAGTAAATATGCAGTTCAAGCAAGACGAACATTATGTGATGTGTACGGGGAAGTTGTGAGAGATTGCTGAAAGTTTAATTTGTCTAATTTCATGAAATATTTTGCATAATAAAAAATCGTGTTTAAATTGCACTAAAAAAACTAGATCACTTAGTGAACGATCCAATAAAATTGTTTTAATTTAAGTAATATAATATATATATTATTATATATAACCTACTTAATTATTATTTAATTCTCACAAATTTAATTTATTTTTTTTATCAGAAATATTTATTTAAAAATAAAACTATATAAAAATTTAAATAAAAAAATGAATGGATACAAATTCTTTGATCAATTTTTTCTAATAAATGAAAGTCGCTAATCACGACTAACTTTAGCGACTGCAACAGATAAAGTAAGCAATGAATACAGCTGAAAGTTTAGTTGTACTTAAGGGGCATGTATATCAACATAAAAAAGACTTTGGTAATTGGACCCTCTCTAACACTATCCCGATATTCCTATAATACGGCGTAAAAAAAAAACGAAATCGGACAAAACCCACGCCTACTTCCCACATAATCTTTTACGAAAACTATCGGTCAATTTGTAAGTTATCTTAATGAAAATGGGAGAGAGTGTTTTTTTAATAACAGTGTGTATTTTTGCCTAAAATGGATAAAATTGGGTAAAAACGTGCCTCATATAACTATAATTAGGATATTTAAGCTTCCGAGTGCCTTTAATCCTTATATATTGGTGATGGTGTATGAGATACCCTAATGAAACACAGAAAACGTTTTTTTCTGTTAGTAATATGTGATCCAAAAATAGATAAAAACGAGTCAATACTAGCCCCACCTCCCATATATTTGGCTTTATACTGCATATATTGGGCAATATAAAGATACCGTAAGAAAAATTTAGTGATCGTATAATATTGCATACATTACTATAGTTTTATGCCGAAAATATATGCATTTAATAATTCATTTACGAATTCCCATATACATCATATAATGATTTTCGTTCTAACAAACCTTATGCCGAATATGTCGGTCGGTATGTGAGTTATAAATTCATAAAATTACTTGAAAATATGTTTTCGAATATACTTGAGCAATGTCAAAAGTTAATACAACTAGCCTGTTACTTTCTCTGCCCTTAATATACCCTATATTCGTATAATGATGTCTGACTTTTCAATTGACTTTAGCCCGTTTGGGTTGATCAAAATGTGTGATATTTAAACGAAATTAAATGAACAAGTTTTCTTAAAAACTATGAAGTTTTTATAATGGTTTAGTGCTGGTTATGAATGTAATTGGTCTAGACCTTGGTCCAAATCTCATATCCCTAATATAATGAATTCCGATCCTTTGGTTAACGTTTTCCACATCAACTCAATATATTAAATTCACGGTTGAATTTATATCACACACATCTCTTGTGAGGATTATTTTAGCATAATTTTCACTGACGGCAAGTAAAATGTAGCAACTAAGTCAGTCTATGACCTTCAATATAAGTTAATAAGATACCAAATTTGATTGTATTTGATTTCTTTGAATGTCGTTTTGAATGTCTAACAACATGTTGCAGCAGCGAGTATAATAGTTTTGTTTAATATAAAGTTTTGCCAACACTTGAAAGTGTTTCCCCGGTTTGAATCTTGCAAGTTGGAAGAATATAAAATGCTCGATTACATCCAAACTTAGCCCTTCCTCACTTGTTTTTTCACTATTTATTTTATTTCTTTAATAATAATATTGTTTGATATAATGTTGTTTGTAAAAAGATATCTGATTGAGGAATAGTGAAATCTGACAAACATTTTTATTTTCTAAAAAAAATGGTTCTTTTATAACTTCAAATACTACCTTATTATTATATTTCGTTGTATAGTAACAGAAACGTTTGAATAACATACAAGTAGTATACTTGTAGTATCAGTGAAAATATAATACAAATTTGGAAATAATTTTAATATATTATATATAAAAGTAACATCTTGCAATATACTTTTGTATAAAAAATTATAAGAAATTTAAAAAAATAAACACAAATTAAAAAAAAGAATATATAATAATATATAAAAAAGAATTAAAAAATTAAATAATATAATTAATAAATAAAATATAAAAAAATTGAAAACACAAACTCATAGAAATTAAAAAAAATATATAAAATATTGTGGATGAAAAACTTAAAAATTTAATTTGTGTAAATAATTATTTACTTTAAATATGAGTAGAAAATATTAAATTAAATATTTATTGATGTATATTTTTTATATGCAGAAACCCTGAAGCGCGATGGAAAGCAGAACTTATCAAAAAAATCATGATGAAATATCTATCAAAACACGATTTGAAACTCGAAATGTTAAATAAATAATTATATATTTTAAATAAGTGAAAGTGAAAAAAAACCAACTAAACAAAATAGTTACAACAGTTACAAATCCTATACAAAAATAAAAAAAAAATAGAAGCAAATAAAAATACGCAAGTAAAATAAAAGTAATTAAGTAAAATTATATGAACGAAAGTATAAGGCAAACTGAAAAAACAGCTGAAAATAAAAAAATATACACTATTGATGAAAAAATAAGTAAGCTGTAAAAATAAAGTTATAACAATAGGAAAGAAATAGTTAAAGTAGTGAAATAACTAATGAGAAATACGCTTCAACCAAAATTAATCAATCGAGCGTTATAAACACACATTTTTACACGCAAAGCACTAGCAACAACAGTGGATGAAAGATGCAAATCAAGCAAAAATATTTCAATATTAAACAAATAATTTATAAACCTTAATTTAGAAAAAAAAAAAATTCAACTGCTGTTTCTGAAAACTTACCGGCGCTACTTAAACTACAAAATCTAGCAATAAATTTTAATATCACCGCATACCTTTTGGCTGCGCAACCATTCAAGTTACCGCTATTTATAGAGAATACGATATATTGTATATGAAATACAAACGCTGTATAAAAAACAAAATTTCGAAATGAAGTAATAACTTTACATTTTCTGCTAAAAATATTTGTTTTAGGAAGAATTTGCATAAAAGGGCACTCAAAAAAAATATTTTATCAAAGAAAAAGTATTACTATAAGACACACAATTCAAAGAGCAACGATTATAACGGTTTATCAGCAACTTAGTATACATATTAAATTAAAATCAATTAAATGAAGTAACAAAAATTAAAGTATTACATAAAAACACCGAGAAGCATAAGTAATATACATATGTATTCAAAGTAAAATATATAAATATATATGAAATATTCAAAAATTATATAAGCAACTTAGAAAAATTTAAAAGAACCCAAAAATTACAAATTAATGCCACTAGCAGTTGTATCAATGTTGCAGCAACAAAAATGTTTAGAAACATTGGACGAGCAGCAGCAAAAAAATCAAGCAACAGCGGCAGCTGAAGTAGGCAGCACGCAGCGTCAATACGCAGAAACACGGCTTACAAACGCTTTGAATGCCGCTGGTAAAGAAGAAAAACGCACAGCTTGGCAGCATGTTACCGCAACAGAACAGCAACTCCTACAACAACAGCAAGTTAGTAGCGAAGAAAGCTTGCGCGAAACTTCTGATCTTCACAATGTTAGGATAACAGATAAATGCATGCTGAATGCGGCCGCACGCCAACAGTCAAATGTAGCCAGCAACATTACACATACGTACACAGACGTTGCAACATTGGTTGAGCACACCGAAGCAAATGTTACATTAGGAAAAGTATTAAATAAATCAAAACAAAAACGTATCGCGCAGACAACAACAACAACAACGCTCCATGTAGCAAACCATATTGGCGATAAATTGCTTAGCAACATGTTGCCGCTGGCGCGTTTAAAGACTAAACGTGCGCGCCACCACAATGTTGCTGCGGTGCAAAGTGCTGAGAAGCGTGCAAAAATTGCCAACGCGAAAGCGAAGGCGACAAAATTAAATACAACAATAAATCAAAGCACACAAAGTGCAGAAATGTGCGAATTGGCAGCACCCACGGGCGAGCCGTCAGTCAAGCAACAACGCCAACATCAATACCATAATAGCGAAAAGACGATAGATTTCAATAGTCGACGGCGACGCGGACGCCTAAGGGCCGACAATGTAGACGCGGTGCGTCTGCATAACGGTGCATTTGGTAGTGGCGTAACGGCTACAGTGTGTCGCGCGCTAATGTGGCTCGCAAGATATTTGGAAAAGGTCGCGCACAATCGCGCCAACGCCGGCTACGATCAAAGTGATCCCTTGCTGTACTTGTTATCGGTGTTGTTATCGTTAATCGTTGTTAATGTAAATAGAGTTGCCAGTTTAGTGAATGAATATAAATGTGAAGTGAATAGCAATGAGGTAGCAAACACTAATAATAAAACAACCAACACCAACGCCAACACCACTAACACACCAAACACCAACAGCGCTAAAAATGATAAAAATCACAAAATCATTACCAATCAGACCATCGAGTTGGTTAGCGAGTCTATGGCAGCCGACAGCGTTGCAGAGTTGTTGCAATTGCCGGAAAATGGCGACGATGACGACGTCGAGGAGAAGGATAAAACGTCTGTAGACGCTCTTGAGTTCGAGTCCGGGTTCGCGCTGGTGGCTAAGGCGAAAAACAATAAAAAAACAAACGCACAAAATACAGTTACGGCGCTTGACCGCAACGCGTTGGTGCTCACAGAGCGCGCCGACTTAATGACCGCAGGAAGTGCAACGAAGCGTGGCAAGTCCAATTGCGCAGCAAACGCGCATGCCAGTGCCACAACAACAACAACAGGCGGCACAAGCAAAACATTTGTGGCTATGCAAATGCAGTTACTCTTCTATGCCTTCATCTTATGCACATCCATATTACTTCCAAGCGGCAATAATTTGGTGGCCGCAGCCAAGCCGAAATCCGCTACGCAATTGCAGCAACAAAAGCTATTGCAACAACAACAGCAGCAACAACAATATGAGCATCAACATGGCCATCAGGCTCATCAACCGGCTGCCGGTCCGAATGGTGGTTTCGGTACGCTTGGTGGTTATGCTGGTCCTGGCATACCAGTCTCATCCGGCGGTACGGCCGATTTGACACCGCCAACCTATCAGGTCGTTTCATCGCGCGCATCGAATGAGCAGGCGGAATTCATATTCCCCGCTGATCAATCGGACGAGCAAGTCTTCGATCAGGAGAATTTGAATGTTGTGGAATTGGATGATGACGACGATGATGAGGAGCGCGAGAAAGCGTACGGAATGAATGGCAACGGTAAGTACGATAATTATGTTAATAAATACAAAAATAAAAGGAACAAAAAAAAAAGAGAAGAAGAAATCTAAAAATAAACAAGTTTTTTCATGAAAAAATATGCTCAGAGGTTAGTCTAATGCAGCAGGAGTTGACCGCAAATATAAACAACTTTTTTATGTATAGAAAGAAAAGAAAATGAACTCTGATACCACGTAGTGGAGGCGCTGTACTATGTTTCATGTCCAAGTAGTCCGAGATTTTAACTTAGGTACGACAAAGTCCCTTAATTATGATTACACGTTGAGTTAGAAATTTCCTTGCTAATGAAGGAAAGGCAATAATGTTTATTAGCTCTCAATTATAGTTAAGCTTATATCATTAATAAATAATATAAACATAGTTGCGATGAAACTACCCTGAAATGTACCATAACATGCCACCAAAGATACCGAAGAGGCATAATGTACATATACCAATATATAAAAATCAAACTCCACTGATGAAGTTTTTGATATTTTTTACTGTGAATATTTCTAGAAAGCTTCCTTATTTCTAGAAAAATCTTTAGTCGATTTGACCTTATGAAACAGTCACTGGACAAAATCCCCGTCTGTTTTTCATGAGTTTTCTAGTAAAGATACAATACATAAGAACGTGAGTGTATTTGTTTAAACTTTTAAATATATATACATCTTTTTTTAGCAGCTATAAAAAAAAATACTAATGGAGTTAAGGATGAGTTTAAGAAACATAGTATAAACTCTGTTCGCATCCATTTTTTTAAGGATTTCAGTCACAAAATGTCTCTTATAGCTAAAAATAGCGACTATAGTGACTATAAGAGACACTTAAAAGAATATTCGAAAACGAAAAATAAGTCCTTCTCAGTGTTGGGCATAAAAACTTCACAAACTTACTCAGAAAAAGATTAGTCTGATCAAATTGATGAATCCCATTCGTATCGTCGATTTATTATAAAACAATAACTAGGTATACTAAAATTTTTAGATTTCATATGATTTCGAATGAGCTTCATGCTTGTAAATATTGAATGAATTAATTGTACACATACCACACTTAATCAAGTCCACTTCCACAGAAAATACGTCTCTACTTGTATTGTGTTTTCGTTGCCAATTTCTTATAGAATTCCTCCAGAAATTATTAGTTATGTGTTCTTGTGATTTGCAAATGTACAAATGAATCGAAAATTTACTCTTTGCCACAATATATTTTTTATTTAATTGTGAGCATTATTAGATATACTTTGTAGAAAAATCTTATTATAAAACGGGTTTTCACTTTTGAGTTTTTTCCTTAATGCAGAAGATTCCTAAATGAAGAGTCACAATTTTTTGTTGCCGTTTTTATGAACCTTGGTATTGTCATGGTCGTGCTTGAGACAAATACAAGTATATTGCTATCTTCGATTCAATTCGGTAAACATTAGAGATTCTAAGAGAATCTAAAGGAATCAATCAATAAAAAATGTTTCTTTAATAACTTTTTTGTTTATTAAAAATATATAAAACAAAATTTGATAGCATTGAAGATAATGAAACCAATTTAATGAAATATTCATATGCTCTGTTGAATCGAACTCCTCACAATCTTTGTAGTTATAAATTTTCAACACAGCAACTCCTGATAATAGCGAGGTGATGACGAATCAAATACGTCTATTAATAGTAGAGAAAATGAACTTACACTTTTAGACATTTTTTTTTCGCTATATGTATGTATGTCACTAGTCGCCGATTGCCACAAAAAGTTTTATTTGCAGTCCGACGCGAATTATATAAAATAACATATTGGCTTGAGCAGAAGAAAATAACTTCCCGTTAAAAGCTCGTGTCATTGTGTCAAATTATTAATAACACAAATTTATTGCTTAATTATTTCACTGGATCAATAGAGACATCATAAAATGACTCACTCGCATCAAAAAGTGTTTTAAAACTTCAATTGTACAAATTGCTGATAAAAAATAAGAAAACACATTAACTTCGACCGTACTACCGAAACTACAATAGCATTTACAGGTGCATAAAATGTTATAAAAATATCTTTATCCTGATTTTTTTCTGTATGTTTATATGAGAGCTATATGCTATAGATGTCCGATCTGAACAATATAATCGGATACTGTAGCGTTTCTTTGGACTATAATGAAATTCGTGAAGATACCCTGTCAAATAAAAAAGTTTTCCCTACAAGGACTTAAAATTCAGAGTATGAATTTAGAGGTTACTCATACGCCATGTGGTACAACGATTCTTTTAAAAGTATAATAACATTTCTTTGGTGTGTAAAGTATTACGGAACCTCAAGAGACTTGAAGTTTTTATGTATTTGAATTGCAAATTTATCAATATATATATATATCTATGGATTTATATGTATATGCATGAATGGTATTATTTGTCTTGCCATAGTACAATACATATATAAGTACTTTTATATATATATGTAGAAATATGTGTTTGTTTGAATTTCCGCATTAGTAAGCGTAGTAGAAAATCATAAAACTAAAGCGTGAGCGTGCTGTTGAAGTTTATGGCTTTTGAAGTAGCAAAGTTTTCGCGAGTCATAAAAATGTCAGATAGCAAACACTCGAAAGAACTTAAAAAAAATAAAAAAATAATAAAAATTTCAATAGTTCTGAACTTGCAGTAAAGTGTGAGATGAGATCATGCGGGTTTTGATGAGAAAGAAAAACTTTTTGAATGTATATATGTACATCTGTGTATGTAGTATATAAAAAGATACATGATTAATCTTCTACAATTACACATGTATGTATATTAGGGGGAGTCAAAAAAAAATAGTATATCGGATTTATGGGTAGACAACATTTTTTTCGTCATGGATTCTTGTATAGCACAAAATTTCCTGAAAACATCCTTTAGTTCGATTTTTCAATTCAAAAATTTATATATACATATATTTAACGGCTTTAAAAAAGAAAACAAAAAAAACGTTAACTATATAGTATAAAATAGGTATACAAATATATTGTTATTATGATTGATTGTTGAGTTTAAATGGCAGCTATCTACTATAATGGTCCTATCTGAAGAATATTTTGGGAGATTGTAGCAATGCGCTGGATTATATTTTGTGGCAAATTTTGTGAAAATACATTTTAAAATAAAAATGAGAGACAGACATGGCTAAATCGACTCAGATCGTCTTGCTGATCATTTATACATATACTTTATAGGGTCTCCGACGTTTACTGTTAAGTTGGTATTAGACCGTGAGGGCTAGCGAAAGATCATAGCTGCAGAAGGAAGCGCATTTCCATTCTTACTTACATATATGCAAAGTACATATGTATATATATATACATATATATGTATATTTGAGTATATGTTTTTCTCTCTCTTAAATGACTATGCATTTAAAGTATGTTCCGCGCATACCATTGGCGCCATGTTTGCTTTGAATGTCAAAGTTGATTAAAATGCAGCAGTGAAACAAAAACAAAAAAAGACTAAAATAATACAAAAATTATACTCAATAAAAAAGCAACAACTCATTTGACAGCTGCAATAATAATAAAATTGCAAATTGCAAATTGAACGAACAAATGCGCATACACTAATATTATATAATAGCAATACAAACATATATGGAGCCTCTGTGTATGCGTGTGTGTGGTTCTGCGCTTGGTCGACATTAGTGTATTCGCGCTCAAAAGTATGCAAAGTATATTGTAGTTTTGCAAAATTGCATTGTACAAAGGCAAACATTGTTTGCGCCGTAAGTTGTTCGGGCGTGAAATGGCTCATCGAATGACGCAGCACTTGATGCCCACCAACGCCGTGACATTTGAACAGCTGCCAATAAATAATGCTTCGAAAGTGAAGGTGAAAATTGCAAAATAACGATTTAATCGAATTTTTTTTTTTTTTTTAATAAGCGACAATATCCGCTTTGTTTTTAGTGCTGCAACTCGCTACTCGTAATATGGGTTGCAGGTTGCATAGTTTTGAGTGCGAAGTTATTATAAATCAATGTTGAGGCACCTAAATTCCAACTTTGTAAGACCTTCACTTTTTTTTCAACCTTTGTTTCATTTGTTCATTTGTTATTTTTATAATTAGTTAGAAATATTTGGAAATGGGGCGAGAAACTTATATCAAAGTTGCCATACTTAGGTGAAAATTAATGGTTCATAAATTGGACGTATTTGCTTACTCATGATTGACAGTTTTGAACTTTTTCTTACCTTTGGTAAAATAAATTAATTTTGGGGTTAACCAGGAATTCAAATCATTTATGAAAACTAATATAGCGAAGGGCCACTGTTACGAGGTTTTTAAAATGCTAAATTATGCTCACATCTAAAAACCAGATCTGTCGGAGCTTTCAAGAATCCAAAGCCAGTCTCCCCAAATTTTTGACGCCAAAACTATGCCTCCAGTTTAAAATGTATGGAGACTAAAATATGGCCAGCGTTTGTACTCTACTAGTATGCAGATAGGAAATAGCATTATAGTTGACTATATGAGATAAAAAACGTGCAGAAGCGGAAGAATCGAAGAGACTATAGTGTTGATTTTGCATATATTAGATATGTTTGTAAATTTTCTGAGTACCGTAGGCAACAATTGGTTATATAAGCGAGTTCTATTATAAAATTTCTAATTTATGGAGCTGCCACCTGATTTACACGAATTCCAAATATGGCGTTGGTATAAAACTTAAAATTTTGTATATTGATAAATTTGAGTATAATTTAAAACGCAGTTGCCACACTACACATTTTTTTTATATATTACAATATTTTTAAATTAAAAAGCTATGCTAAAGCGCTTAAACCTTTTCGGAATGTATTAATGTAAATCTATAGCTTTAAGACGTTGCCACCTGATTAAAAAAAGCATCAAAAGTTATTTTTATTGTATAACACCCGGTGAGTGATTCTTGGGAAGTTTAGGTAGAGTTGCCAACTCTATTAAACATGTGAGCAAAAGAATTATCAAGTGTAAGGTGTTTGAAAAATTACTATT